CTGCTGTGTTCTGCCAGATTAATGCCAAAACATTTCAGGAGCATTGCCACAACCCTGGGGTCCGCAGTGGGTGTAAGTGCGGTATCTGCATGGGTTATCGCTCGTTTAAAGCTGTGATTCCACTCACTGTTGCGCTTTGCCGATGCTGCTCTTAGGAGGCAGAGACAAACCCCAGCTCAGGGCGAGCTCCTGGCAGCAGGCGCCAAAAAACTTGTTAGGAAACGGCTCATTTAAAAGAAGAAAAAGTAATTTTCCTGCCTCCCGTTCACCGGGCAGACTTGAGTCCTAGCGCGCCTTTAGCCTTGAGGACATCGCTGCGGCTGCTGCCAGGCCAGGGGCATCTCCGCGCGGATGCGGACACCTCTCCGTGCCGCCGGTCCAGCTGCAGCAGCGAAGCTTCGGTGCAGGAGTTGCATTGATGTGGGGCTGCATTTGTGCTGTGGGTGCTCGGTCCTGGTCTGGACCCACCTTCAGGTACCGGTAGCAAAATCCAGCATGGAAGATCCGTCACACACGACATCCCTGATACGAGAAGTCTCGCTGGAGGCTGGGCTGGCAAACAGGACTCCCAGCATCCCGGTTTGCTCCCTCTGTGCCCAAAGTTTGCGTGGCAGAGAATTAAAAAAACGGGAACTTGGCAGCCTCTGGAACCAGGCCAGGCTCTCCCAGCCCGGGAAGCCACTCGCCTCGGCTGCGCTGCTGCGGGTAATTGCAGGGATAATGAAACTGCCCAATGTCTTTTGAAAAAAAGCATAAATCCTCCAAGCTGGCAGCTCTGCAGGAAAAGGAGCTGTCAGCGTTTAAACCAGCAAGACAGTGGCAGTACGAGCAAAGCGTCGTGGGGGCGGCTCATGGGCTCGTCCCTGCGCCGGGAGCCGACGGGCGGCAGCGCCTGCTCCCTCCCAGGGGCTGGGGGGCTTCTGCAGAGCAGTGAGGGCTGTGCGAGGGGACGTCGAGACACTTCCAGCGCTGGCGCCGCGGGCGTGCTCCAGTGCGCGGCCTCTGGGGTGACCTTGGTGGGGTCCTGGGTGCTGGGCTGGGTTTAAACCCTGGCTTTAGCGCATCCTCAGCTTGAGCGTGTTTGCTCTTGCGTGCTCCCTCTCCTTCTTTGCCCTCCAAATCCATTCCGGCCCTTTCCTAATCTCCCTAGGGATGCTGGATTGCTGCAGCCATCAGCATATGCTGCCTGCGGGTCATCTCCGTCTTTGCCTGCGTTGCTTTTGCCCTGGGTTTTTATGCACCAGCGTTAGCGATGGGCGCACGTACGCGGGGCTGGGAGATGAGCACATAAAACAGTGTACAGGCGTGCGTGCGTACGAGGGCCGGGGATGAGATGTTTGTGCTCCAACAAAGACGTCCGGCGCCGGGATGCTGCTCGGGGGAACCCTGCGTCCCCGCAGCCTCGTGGCTGCGCCTGAAATCCCCAGGCGAGA